ATCAGAGATGTTCATACTAAAGGTTATTAAAATTTATTTTACATTTTGTTGATTCTATATTATAGTGCTAAAAACACAACAACAAAATACAACTTTTATTTGGTTTTAAAGTTATAGTAATAAAAAAGTCAATGGATGTGCAGTAGCTGAGTGGTAAAGCACTTGGCCCACAAACTGGGCCTCCTGAGCTCAAATCCTAGTGAAGACTAGGATTTTTAATTTCGCATCTTTAGGGTGCCTATGAGCCCACCCAGCTCTAAGGAGTACCTGACATTAGTTAAGGAAAAGCAAATGCAGTTGGTCATAGTGCTGGTCACATGACACCCTTGTTAACCATGGGCAAAAGAAATAGATGAGCTTTACATAATTGGCCCTGTAGATCACAAGGTCTGAAAGGTACTTTTTGTTTTAACAAGTCTGTATTCTCTGCACAGTCTACACACCAAAAAAAGCTTGATATTTATGATTTTACCTCCATTTTTCTACACATTTATAGTTTTATCAGAAGAAAAGAATGATGAATTCTATGCCATTTGTATTAAAAGCTTTGAGCATGTTCATGTACAACTGCTTGTTATGTGAAATAAATAGATTCCATAGGCATATCAAACAAATTTTTTTATAATCAGGATGTTTTAGGTTTGAAACTTGCTAAAGCTAGACATTTCTGAAATTAAGTCAATGTTTCTTTAACTTCAGTGCTCTCTTAATCATCAACAACTCAAATATTCCAATATTTGTCTTCAAATTTCTTTTGTCAATTTTTTTTTTTTTAAACAGAAAATATCATGGCCAAAGATGTGAATTTGAAAGAAAACCCTGTGGTGATATCGCCCATGGCCAGTGGGCCAGATTAGGATGTAACTTGTGTAGATGCTTTGATGCTAAGATGCACTGTTTAACAAAAGTCTACGAAGGCTGTGGTAATTAAATATTCTGTCTACTTAGATTTAAGTTCTTTTACTTTAACTTGATCTGTATTTAGCAATTAGGTTTAAACAATATAATATTCTTAATTTGCAGATGACAAGCCACCAAAAACAGATGTTGATACAGCTGATTACCTGAATGATAGGGAGATATTCCCCGCAGACAGTGACAGTGATTATGATAATTATGGAAGTGGGGATTATAGTTACAATGAGGATGACAGGGTTCAAAGATCAGGCTCTTCTAAGCTTATCACCCACTTATTCAAAATGCTGTTGGTAATAGTGACTGTAATGTTTTTGATTGGCTCCCCATGGCAAGTGTTTCCATTCACTTTTATGATTGAGTGCTCTTAGCAGTCCGTGGGTGACTTGTTGAATTCCTTGAATGCCAAAGTTAAAATCATCTACAATCAATCAATCAGATATTTCTTCAGAAAGTGCTCAAATTTCTGTAATATGTTGTTCACATTCTATCATTTTCATCAATAATTGATAATTCATTTACATTGGATCCTTAGCCTACAGTGTAGAGTAACAACATTTTATCTCTAGCCTCCAGTGTGGAGAATCCACATTAGGATCTCAAGCCTACAGTCTGGTGTATCCACATTTGGATCTCTAGCCTACAGTGTTGTGTATCCACATTTGGATCTGTAGCCTACAGCCTGGTGTATCCACATTTGGATCTGTAGCCTACAGTCTGGTGTATCCACATTTGGATCTCTAGCCTCCAGTGTTGTGAATCCACATTTGGATCTGTAGCCTACAGTCTGGTGTATCCACATTTGGATCTCTAGCATACAGTGTTGTGTATCCACATTTGGATCTGTAGCCTACAGTCTGGTATATCCACCTTTGGACCTCTAGCCTCCAGTGTGGTGTATCCACATTTGGATCTTTAGGTTACAATGTATTACATCAACATAAGATGACACTCTGTTTTATTATTTCTGAGGAGATTGAATGAATTTTCCAGAAAAAAACTGCACATTAAATAGAAACATTTACAGTTGGTAAATGATCTTATAGTTGATATACAATACGTAACACAAACTTTACATATGTATTAAAAATTTTAAAAAAAATGTTTTTGTAATCCAAACACTTAATGAATGTAAATTTAAATTATTGCTTTGTATTATGGAGGTTCTAGTCATTAGACCTGTGGATAAAAAATGTTTTGTTGAACTGGTTTAAACATTTCATGTATGAATTAAAATATGTTTAAAATCTGTGTCTTTCTTGTATGATAATTAACTTACTGTACAATTAAAATTTACACCAAGATATTTGAATCCATGTGTACAATTATGTCTCAGATATAATGATGAATCATGAAAATAATTTTCTGAAACATGCATTATGATGGGGGGGGGGGGTAATAATAATATTTAGAGAACATCTGGCTAAGTAGCATACTCCACTTGGCTGTTTAGTGGACTTGAGCTTCAAATCAAATATTTTTAAGTTAAGATTGACTTGAGCTATGCAAGGAGCACCTAATGACAGCTTGAAAACCTTCTTCCGGATTTCCCTACCCTCATGCCCATAAAAGAAGAAACAATCTATAGTAACATGTAAATAAAAGCTACATAAAATATTCAAAATTAATTCATTAATCATTATAATGTAATGAGCTACACATTCTCTCACTTCTCAATTTGTAAAGATTTAACATATTGCTGTATGAAAATTATCAGTTGTACTATAATGATTAATTAGACATTGTGGGACACTGGCATAAAAGAAAGGATATAAAAATCTCTGATAGTAGTTATTAAAATTTTGTTGAAGATGTTGACAGAAATGCTTTCTTCAAAAATTTCACATTCTATTTATACTGTTCCAAATAATTGCAAATATGTATTCTAATTATGTCTTGGAAGTAGTTTTATATTTGTTTTGCACATTCAAAGCATATTCTAAAATCTAACTGAAATACTATTTAGTAAACTTTTGAAAATATAATGCTTAAAAAACATGTTTGTAAATTTGAATTGCTTCTAATTTTGTTGAATTCATTTTTCTACACAAGTTTTTAGTTACTTAAATCTCTCAGATATATTCACAGGTTTGTGTTTCCTGTGTGTAAAGTGTTCATCTAAATGATTGTATTTTTTCCATTTAATACTATAGTTGTTAAATGTATTTTTTAAAAACTGGTTTAGTTTCATAAAGCTACTGTTACGTAACGCTCAGGAACTTTTCAAAGCTACATGTATGTAACATTTTAAAAGCTACATGTATGTAACATTTTAAAAGCTGTAGATTAAGGGGGATTGCAGAATCATATGTGGCTACGATGTTCTAGATATGTGTTAACATCTGATGCAGATACAGTCCCTGTAAAGAAATGTTTTACAATAATGTTCAAATGTTAATTTTAAGGGAAGTGTACTAAGCTAAGTAACTAAGCTAACAGGGAGATAAGCCTTGCACACAAATGAGAGAGAGATGGCAGTGGGTTGAATGGTGCTCTTCCTTCCTTCCCTCCCAAACGCACCCTGAAAAATAAGCACAAGAAGTGACCCCATGGCAATCATCACAAATTTCCCTCAATATAATTGAGATTTAAGAAAAAAGAATGTTGTACATTTGACTTGTTTTTAAGTATATTGTAAGAGTGCATCATGCTGATTGGTTTTAGCCTTCAGTAATGTTTTTTCTTTTAAGCATTAATAAAAGTTTGTGTAATTTACATTTTTGTAAATAAAAGAAAGCATTCCAAAGTGTTTAGTTGTTATGCTTAGTTTTTTAAATATCCACAAAAATGACTATCTGTAAAGCTTTTTCTTATGCAATATTGGGATGTCTTTTTCAATGTAGGAAGACAAAAAGGTAAAAGTCTCTAATACTGGTTACTGGTAAACTGGTTATACTGAACATTTTTATTCATTTTCATTACTCTAATTACACTTTTTATCTGTCAATAAATTTAAAAATAGCATAAGTGGAATAATAATATATGAATTTATATGCAACCTATTCTGACCTACTGGTATTTTGCAAAATATGAAAATATGGTTTCTAGAGCCAGAAAAGTCAATTAAATAGAAATTAAAATGTTTAGAACCCTTTTAACAAATCATGATTTATTCATGAACGATGTTTAAATTTAATCATCAAAAAAAAAATCTGAAAGATGTGGTTTGTTTTTAATTTGTTCTTGACTCATTTCCGTTAAAATTGTATTTCCAATGTTCAAAAAGAAAATGTTTTCAACTATGCCTGTTTGATCTGTCTGTTGTAAGATATATGGCTCTTAATGAAGTGCCTTTATTTACAAAATACAATATTTCTATGTTCTTTAGCTCATTATAGGAGGGTGAGTGAATTATTTTTCTTTCATTTGATCTTTTTTAAAGTTTACATACGAGATGATTTTTCTACCAGTTTTATCGCTCATCCATATATATCTATCCATATATATAAGGGTTTCTCATCATTGGAATGGGGACAAAATTTTTTATTCTATATTACCTCACACATCATTTTTATTAGAAATAATCCTTTAAATTTTTTTTTGCAATTGCAGAAGCTAAGAAAAAAAAACATCCCCCTCATGATTCCATACAAACTAAGGAATAATTTTAAAATTATCAGCATTATCTTCCCATGTAATTTTGAAAAATGGTGAATGTTTTTTTCAAAGATCATAAGAAATGGGATTATCTTTATCAACAATGTCTATTAATAATTTAGACAAGCCTGTAGGAACTGTCATTTTTATAGTCAGACCAAACTTGTTATGTAAAGCATAATGTATGCCGCATGCATTCCTGCATTCAACTAAATGTCAACATGTTTAAACCCAGTTCAAAAAAATGATTATGTAAATAACAAATATGCTATGGCTCATCAAGGCTGTGAGCTGAAGCCCAAGTTAATGTGGGTTTGATGTTTATATGAAATTTGCTTTTTTATATTTTGTGTAAGAAAAAATCTTTTTTTACTGAATTAAAATATGCATTTAACAATTTTAAAATGTGTTTACAGTGATTCTTTTCTCCAAAGTCTCCAGGCATTCATACTAATCAGACAAACACAGACACAAAACTGAAAGCATCCAAAAGATATTCTTTGTTTATTTATGTCCAAATGATACACATCTATGTCCAAGATAAATGCATTGTACATATGAAAACATCTAGCCACTTGCAATATTGTCAACATTGAAGTTCACAGAAATAAAACAATAGGAATTTATTTAATGATATCTTAATGTTCTTAATGTTTCAACAGATAAAAAAAAATAACAAATTTTCAGCTCATTAAGGAGGTGTTATATTTGTGTATAATGTTCTAGTAGATTTAAAAAGAAGTTCTTCAAAGAATTGAGGGATACATTCAGGACAAGGTTTAGCTTTGACCACTAGATATTAATACATTTTGCCTAACTACAAAGTAATCTCATTTAGTGGATAGCTATCTACAGAGTAATCTCATTTAGTGGATAGCTATCTACAGAAGTGTAGATTATTTCCTCTTCTAAAAGTATCAGCTTCAAGTCAATTACAACTGTGAGTCAGTAAACAACTTTAGTTTTTGACTGCATGTAAGGCGTCTTAGATACTTAAGACCCCAACAATTACTACGTAAAAATTCTTGGGTCTTTATAAAATTGTTTGATATTGAAAACTATCACATGAATTATATCATTTTTAAAACTTTATATACAATAAACACATTTGACAGCATTACACTGAACACAAATTATAATTATTTTATAAACCAATTCTTTCATCATAAATAAAACAAAAATTCTTTTATACTTCTAATAGAAAAATCAAGTAGACCTTGCTTAAGGTAAAAATATCACCAGTGGACTTATAACTCATCAAATTATTTTTATTTCTAAACTTTATTAACATATGCTGAGCCTTTTTACAAGCTTTAGACCTAAAGATTAAAACAATGCTTTCTAGACATCATTGAAAAATAAAACTGTCTCATTCAAGTGAATATAGGATAGAAACTAAGTAGTCTAGAATCTGAAAAATAAATTCACATACAAGTCTCAACAGTATCACAAAGGTAATATCAAAATTTAAATCAAAAACATAAACTAGTGAAGAAAAGAAACAAATAAATTCACTCCAACAAATACATTTGTGTGTCTTCATTTGACACTAAAAATACATTTCATTTTCTAATTATCAACCTTTACCATCCAATAGTTAATATTATACAACAATTTGTTTCAATCATGTTACATAATAATTTCCTACAACTTTTGAGTAAATAATTCTCAACTAGGTTAAAGTGACTATTCTGAATCAAACTGTGAAGCAGATAAAAAGTAGAAAACCAAATTGCACATCAAGGGCTAGAGCTTTACAAAAGCCATCAAGTATTGCCACAAGCTCTTAGAGTTCTCTCAACAAAACTCTACACAAAACAAAATGGTTGTACTGTTGACTTCAAGGAAAACTCTTGACCAATTTGTGAGCTTTCTACTAAATGTATTTGCCCAAGCAGCTTTATATTACAGGACATCAAATCATAACATGCTAATATGAACAAGTAGACCATTGTGGTACACATTGAAAATTCACACACATGTTTGCTTCATTAAATTGGCTAATAAAAATAAAGTATTTTGAATACATTTAGGAAAATGTTTTTAAAATGTGTGACAAGCCAAAAGATAATGTGAGTAAAAAAATAAAAATCTGTAGGTTAGGCCAAGATCTGGATCAATTTGAAATGGTAAAGCAATTACATTTTTTGTACAGGATTAAAATAATTGCAGAAATATATTTAGTTATTTAAATAAAAGTTATAAAGCTGTAGGTTACATCAGCTTGTAGGTCTCTCAAAGCCTAGCTTAGTCACCTATGTCATGTCACTTGATTTTAGTAATTTGTTTGGTCCAAGATTGTTGCTACCCAACTTTGCAAACTATTATAGTTATACATATTGTTAGCCAATCAAAAAGGAGCCTGATATTCCTAAATACTATTTTCTGTTTCAAACAAACTAACTTAGGTCAGGAGTTTTCCTTCAGACTCTATATTTGCACAAATAAAATGAAAGTAAAAATAAATATTTTCATTAGGCTATTAAAATTGGTTAAAATTTGCAATATAAAATTTTAACAAAGATTTAAAACAATTCAGAGGTACCAACTAGAAGCTTACTTAAGTGATTAATTCAGGTGTTTAAAAGCACACAGATGTGAACGAACATTAATGTTAAAGTTAATGTTTTGAACCTGAGGCTCAACATACTGAAACTTTAACAGAATATATCAATTGATGAATTTGGCAGCTTTTGAGGTGTAGGCATTTATACTTTCTACTCTCAAGCTCATGAATCATAAACTCCATTTGGGGTTACAGAGCAATTGATTTCACATAATTTAAGGACATTTGAAAATGTTTCAAATTGGAGCTGCTTTTTATTTTGCATTGGGTCACAATTTAAAAACATTAAGAGCCACTAATGTTATATTTCTGTCTCCATATCTAATTGTGCATTCTAAGTCTAAAGCAATAAATGTAAATAGAGAAACAAGCATTATATTTGGAGTGTACCAAACGAAAAATATTACAGTAGTGATACTCATATGGCAATAGGAACAAGATCAATGCTCAACATGCCAGTCAGATGCTTAAACAAATATGTACATAGGAAATCAACCAGACACTCACTCACTCTCCAGATAAATCATTACATTTACTCAACCATTAGATTATAAGAACCCTACCATTTAGCGTAAACCATAAAAATCCCACAAATAAGTCAAGCTCATTTATCTTTTCATTCAACCAATGATGTGAAAAAACATTTATTGTTTAAAACTTTATAAATAAAGCATTTCCAAGCTAGTATTTTTTTTATACTATTTGTAAAAACAAGCAATACAAACACATATTCTCTCTATCCATATCTATTTAAATTTCATAGGAAGACAAGAAAACTATTTTCAAATTTTACACACAAAAAAAGTTATTGTAATACTTCAACTTGTGTAGGTTTTTGTTTTATTTTACAAATTTTACTCTACTTTAAATAAAACAAAGAAAATTAAATGAAAAAATAAAAAAGCTTCCTTTAACATTACAATAAAGACAATAAAATAAGTTTAGTGTTAGTCTTTTGTGATATAGTAAATCATTCATTCAAATAATAAGTGGAATATGATGTGCAGACATGCAAGACAATGCAGTTTAAAAAATAAAAAATCCCTTCTTTTTATGATGCATCAAAAACATTTACTTATATACATCTATAAGTATGTTTAGGTGTGTTCAAGACTGAATGTCAAAATAAAATAAACATGCTAGTGTAATATTAGAAAAAAATATCTATGTTAATAATTGGCAAGATAACTCAATATTTGAGAAATATTTGATCAGTAATTTGTCTCCCTTGCTATTCTTCGTCCCTTGATCATGGAATTATAAGAATCAATGTCAATTTTTATTTCTACTGAGGTCATTTTGGTTTGTTCCCCCCATTGAAATGATTCGGACTAATTTGCGGGAAGGGTTCCTCTGCCTGTTGGATTGTGGGCTGAACAGAAACAGACATGGAGAGCTTCCTTACTGAGGCAGAAGATGGAGACATTTGCTTTGTCTTTCTAAAAGAAAACCTACGCTTTGTAGTAGTGGTGGAGGTAGTTTGAATGTTTGCTACACCTTCCTCAAGTTCACTGTGAAATCAAATGTTAGATTCATCTCAAGACTAATGTTATTCAGTAAGCACATTGTAGGGAAAATAATCTAAACATATTTTATTCTATATAAAATTATATAGACTTGTTCTAGGAATTTTTCTTACATTAAAAATGTATTAATGTCCGATCTAGGAAATAAAATGTTTTATGATTTCTATTTAGTTACAGTAAAGTTATTACAATAATGCTCAATTTAAAAACATAATATTTCATTAAACTTTAAATATTTAAAACTGATAATAATTACTTTGAAACATATAGTCCATATAGTTGTTTATTTGTTGCAACTAATAAAAAACCTTTTTAACTCAGTAAAATATAGCACAAAGTTGATTACAAGATATATGTTTCAATCATACAGAAACACTGCTTTTTTAAATCCAGAGTTTTAAACCAAATTATTAGAGGCAAACAGAAACAAAAATAAGCAACTAAAAAGGATTTCGGCTGGATAGATTGGTGGTTAATATTTTTAAAAATCTAATTGAAGGCTGGTGAAATGTGAACATGTGACAAAACAAAGCCATTACAAACTACTTTGAAATAAAACTATTTCAAACAAAATTAGTCTTTATAAAAAGAAAAACAAATGTATTCTTATAAGACTAAATAGAATTTAAACAACTTAATTAAATTTAGCCAAAAATAAAAATAAGCTTTACTCAAGTGACAAAGCCTAAGATTGAATGAAAATTGTATCATCACTGCCAACCCAAAGAAATCGGTTATGTGTAGGTCTATATTCTAGTCTATTCTTAAGGTCGTTGTGCTGGCCACATGATACTCTCATTAACCATAGGCCACAGAAACAAACTTTAAATCATCTGCCCTAAAAGGTCTGAAAGGGGAACTTTTTTTTAGTCTATTCTAAAAGAATATAACCAGAGAGACAAAAAAATGACTAATACTAAAACAGATGATTACGTAACTAAGTCTGACAAACATATTCATAGCATAAGCTATGTTCCAATGTCATCTTTTGACAGAAGCTCTTTCTTACACTTTTATAGCTCAGCTTATCCAAACACAAAGTTATAGAAACACAGCATGCAAAAGTAGTGATTACATTGTGGACAAATCATTTTGTGTTTAGATTTGTATATTTTAAAAGTAAATAATGTTTACATGCATACATTTTTTTAAATGATTCCATTAAAGGATAATGTAATTGAAATAGTTCTGATTAGTAGAATAAGAGAAGAAAGAGATCACTGAACAAGATGAAATATTAATTTATGTTATGTCTTAGCAGAGAATAAATTAATTTACAATTACACAGATTTGTACAATAATTTACTATAAAGGCACAAACATATTATAGATTTTAAATTAGCATTTTATACACTTTATATCGAATTTGCATCTTTAAAAAATAACATACTTACTGCAATATTAATTAGAAATCACATTGTAAATTGTTGAAAGTTAAAAAAAAAAAAAAATGATAAAGCTTAAAATAAAATTCCAAAGGATGGTAACTAAATGTTGGAGAGTCACTAAGCAACAGATGAACAGTTTAAAAAATTGAGGGAGATAAAATTACAAAGGAATTATGACTAAATGTTGGACAAAGCTCTGGAGAGGTATGTCTAAAATAAAATCAGTAAAAAATTTTAATAAAGTTTGATGCCAAATTAAAATCTAAATCCATTTGTCACAATAACCTAAAATGGTGTTAATAGTACAATTACGGGAGTGCTTAAAAGAGTTAAGAATGAGCAAAATGAAACAATGACAAATACATTTATGACTTGTAAAACAAGAGTATTAATCTACAGAAACCAAAT